TGTGTCATTTGAAAAAAAAATAAATAAATTTAATAAAAAATCTGCAGCAGTCGTAAGTCCCGACGGTCGTAAGTCGGGGTCTAGCTGTATCTTCAGTAAATAAACAAAGAAATATTCTTCAAGGACACTCTGTCAATCAAAATACTCCACCTCCGCCCTCCCTCCCTTCCTACCCCCTACCCCGCACCTTCCCTCCCTACCAGAGAAGTGATTGGGAGAAAATAGTATATTTACATTTTTAGTAATAAATAATAACCCAGACTAAAGTTAGGATAATATAATTGACATTTCTAGATTCCTTGCAGGCCAGGGAATATTTTGAATGTAAACTTCATATATTTTGCACAAACGATAAAATATTTGCTTTGTATAAACCAAATTATTACATTAGATATAAAATTTGTTTGTCTAATGCAAAATCCATCATGTTTATATTCAAAATGATCATCATATTGTAAGAATTCCAGCAATGTAAATTATATTCTGACAGGGTAATTTGTATGAATTTTATGAGCTAAATAAAAAAAAAGATAAAATTATACTTCACTGCGTATATGAGTAGATGCACCGCAGAAAGTGAAAGTCCTGAAAGTCCGGTTCTGGCAAGGTACCGTAAATGAGAGTAAATGAGAAATCGCGGAAAGTGAAACCGTGTAAAGCGGGGTAATACTGTAATAATAAAATAATAATAATAATAATAATAATAAAGAAATACAAGAATGAAAAAAAGATCAAAAGTGAGAAACACGACCTAGACCTATGAATTATTATTATTATTATTATTATTATTATTATTATTATTATTATTATTATAATTATTATTATTACAGTGAACCCTCACTTTACGCGGTCAATTGAACCCACAATTGAACCCACGGAGGCCTGCTTTACGCGAGAAACGCGTAAAGTGAACAACATAACATTTGGGATTAAATGAAATAGAGACCGGCTGACCCCCAAACTCCACTTTTTCCGACACAATACCTATGTTCTAGTAAAAATAACATCTTAATTTTATGATGGTACATGCACACAATTAATATTTAAGAGAAATACAGTCGCCAAGTTAATGTCCATTCAAATAATGGACTCGACTCCCTCCCCCTCTTCTCACACTCGCTGGCTCTTCCCTCTCTGAGAAATGTTTGGGAGAAAACCACTAGATTTTAAGGTATAGTCATAAATAATGCCTCAAACTAAAGTTAGGATAATATAATTGACATTGCTGGATTCCTTGTAAGACCAGGAATATTTTGAATATAAATGTCATATATTTTGCACAAAAGATAACATATTTACTCAGAGTAAACAAAATTCTTACATTAGATCTAAAATTTGTATGTCAATGCAAAATCTATGATGTTTACAGTATATTCAAAATGATCATCAAATTGTAAGAATTCCAGCAATGTAAATTATATTCTGGCCGGGTAATTTGTATGAATTTTATGAGCTAAAACAAATATCTTCAGTTAATAAAAAAAAATAAAATATTCTTCACGACACTATCTGTCAATCAAAACACCCCACCTTGCCTCCCCCCTCTTCCCACCAAGCCAGCTGGGTCGGTCGGTCCCTCCCTCCCCCCACCCCCCACCTTCCCTCCCTACCAGAGAAATGTTTAGGAGAAACCAGAATATTTACCTTTTTAGTAATAAATAATACCTCACTAAAGTTTGGATAATATAGTTCACATTGCTGGATTCCTTGCAAGACCAGGAATATTTTGAATATACACATCATATATTTTGCACAAAAGATAACATTTGCTCAGAGTAAACAAAATACTTTCAGTAGATCTAAAATTTGTATGTCTAATGCAAAATCTATAATGTTTATATTCAAAATGATCATCAAGTTGTAAGTATTCCAGCAATGTAAATTATATTCTGGCCCGGTAATTTGTATGAATTTTATGAGCTAAAACAAATAACTTCAATAAATAAACAAAATATACTTACCCAAATACTATCTGTCAATCAAAATACCCCACCTCCCCCCTCTTCCCACCTGCTCCCTGGGTCCCTCTCTCCCTCCCTACCCCTCACCCCCACCTTCCCTCCCTACCAGAGAAATGATTGGGTTATAACAGTATATTTACATTTTTAGTAATAAATAATACCTCAGACTAAAGTTAGGATAATATAATTGACATTGCTGGATTCCTTGCAAGACCAGGAATATTTTGAATATACACGTCATATATTTTGCACAAAAGATAACATATTTGCTCTGAGTAAACAAAATACTTGCATTAGATCTAAAATTTGTATGTCTACTGCAAAATCTATGATGCTTATATTCAAAATGATTATCAAATTGTAAGAATTCCAACACTGTAAATTATATTCTGGCCGGGTAATTTGTATGAATTTTATGAGCTAAATAAAAAAGTTATACTTCACCCGCGTATATGAGTAGATGCACCGCGTAAAGTGGGAATTCCGGTACTGGCAGGGTACCGCGTTACGTAAATGTAGAAACGTGTAAAGTGAAACCGCGTAAAGCGAGGGTTCACTGTATTATATTTTAACCACCAGGCACCAATGTGGGTCAGTGACCTGTGCCCGGGTGGGCATTCTGAAATCCGAAAAATTCCGAAAACCGAAATTAATCTGGTCCCAAGGATTTCGGATAAGGGATTGTCAACCTGTATATACAGTCGGCCCTTAACATACGCGGGGGTTAGGTAACAGAGATACCCGTGAATGTTAAAAATCCGTGTACTTTTGCTGCCCCCCCCCCCACCCCCCCTAAAAAACTCCTGGCCCCCTATGTCCTTATTTACCGTATATACCTGTGTGTAGTTCGAGTTTTTAAGACCAAATTATTTGGCAAAAAATTGGGGGTCGACCTCTAAAAGGGTAATAGTTTCGTTAGGTTGAAAAATATTTACCAGTAACTACCAGTAAACAAAGGAAACGATGCACCAACACACCACCAGCTGTGAGTGTCGGTACAGTTGCCAGGGCAGATCTCTTGCATCATCATAGCTAGCCCAAGGTAGCCATATCCATGGTATGGTATACACAGGACGATGTAAAACAAAGTATTCATTTGTTCAAGTTTATTTATAGATACTGTACATAAATTTTTGTTCATTACATTTGAAACATCAATCTTTGTTAATTAAATTTGATACAAAAGAAAACTGCGATACCCATATTTTCATTAAAATATTACATCACAAGTATATTTTACCTTAACTGTGACTGAATGAATGTATTCTCTGAAATAAATATGGAAATGTAATATTTTGGCTGAAATGACGTACATATTACTGTACAGTGGAAAGTGGGATAAAATTATGAAAACAATGACTTTCGCTTTCTTTCGTTGTTCAAAAGATTTTTCCGTAATCGCTTTTTGAATGGTTTTCAGTTAAAAAACTGTTGTACTCGTACTGTATTACAATGATATTCTATCCAATCATTAGCCTTATAATCCCACAACTGAAAACCATTCGAAAAGCGATTACGGTAACATCTTTTGAACGAAAGAAAGCGAGTCATTGCTTTCGTCACTTTCCACTGTAATACGTACATCATTTCAGCAAAAATATTACATTTCCATGTTCTCAGAAATAAATGCTAGTTTTGTTGAAACGTAATGTACAGTATTTAATATTAAAATGCAAAAATAGCTATAAAAACAATTAATACACCCGTAATGTACTGGCTGGCATCTCGTCCCTGCTCTCGCGTCCAAGGTCACCACTCCTCCCAACTCGCTCCCTCCTCCGCCTCCTCCGTCACTACTGCCGACAACAAACACAAATGTTTTGTGAATAACTGCACCTCCACTTCCTATGTACAATACTGAACTGTACTGTGCTGTACATGGAGGGGTCCATACTCTAGGCCAGGTTTTTCAGTGCCTCAATATTCCTGGTCATCTCCCCAACTTCTCCAACGTTATTTCTTGGTGCTCTTCCTCTTCCTCATCCTCTTTCCCTTTCGCTTCCTCTTCCTTGCCTGAGTCTACTAACTCCTGTAGATCCTCCTCGGTCAGCTCAGTGTCGTGCTCTTCAATTAGCTCCCTAATCTCGTCCTCTGCCATGTCCCGGAAGCCTTCAGCAGCCACTTTCCTTGACAGTGCCAGGGTCTTTCTGAATATTTTCATTAAAATCCATCAAAATCATTTTCCTTGTCATCGTCTTAAGCACCAAACAGCTCCTCCCAGTCTTCTCCTTGAACAGGGCTAGAGGGTACGTGTTTTTCGAATCGTTTTCAATTAAAAAAAAATGTTACAGCACATGTATATTTTACCTAAACTGTGCCTGAATGAATATATTCTCAGAAATAAATAGTAGTTTTGCTGAAACATGATGTATTTCAATGTAAAATAGGATAAAATACGTGACGAAAACAAGAGACTTTACCTAACCTTCCGCTGTTCAAGATATGTTACTCGTTTTTTTAGTAGTTTTCGGTTAAAATACTCTTATATTAGTGATATTCTATTCATACTGTACTTGATATAATACATTCACGGAAATGTAATATTTTTGCAACTACAATCCTGATGTCAACACAAGCGTGGTTACAGCGAGACTGACTGAGTGAGGGAGAGCTATGCGCGCGTGTGTGTGTGTGTGTGTGAGGTTGCGGGAGCGGGCGGTGTCCCGTGTTCGGTGCCACGCGCGAGTTGAATGGCGCGCGATTTGAATGTACTTCAATTACTTCAATGTACAGAATATTCCTCCGGCGGGGCAATCCGCGTATTTGCAAATCCGTGAATGCTAAACCCGCGTATGTGAAGGGCCGACTGTATATATATATCTCTTCTCACCTCTGTAAATTTCTTTCACCCTGAACCCTCCATTCTCTGTTAATCTGGCTTCATCTACATCAGACCATTAACATTTCATTCTTTTGTCAATCAACCGTGTAACAATCCTTTATCATCTCCATGTGTACCTACAAATATAATTTATTTCTTTTTGGACTATTCATACATCATTAATAGGATATGAAATATAATATATTTGTACCTTACAGATATTCTTTAGGTACAAGTTTCCAAAAAGAAGCTAATGAAGCAGTTTTGGAACTTACTCAAGATGAGGATTTGAAGCAGAGACAGAATAACTCATTACATAAATGGGATCGTAACAAGAAGAGATTTGTTGGAACTCAGGTGAGAATTTCATAAATTAATAATTTTTTTAATATGTATACAGTATTTTAAAAGTTTTTACTAATTCTTACAGTTTTTATAATTTCAAAATGTCAACCATCCAAAAACTTATCAATACTGTACTCCTTCAGAAAAAAATTAATCAAAACCATTGTACAGTAAGACCCCCCTAGGTCGGACTACAGTAAACCCTCAATAACTCCGCATTTGATAACTCAGAATTTCATATAACTCGGCATTGATATGGTCTCAGAATGTATTATAGTACAGGTACACCACCGATTTTCCGGTACCCTTGGTTCCAATGTCTTGTTGGATTATCCGTTTTGCCGGACCAACTGAGGTCAAGTAATAATAATTCAACAATACACCTCTGACCCACTAATTACACCTCCTGTGTCTTTAAAGCACCATGGACTGCTAGAAACTTAAATTAAACTATGTGATGTTCATGCTCAAATTAATCACAATATACAGGTGTTCCTCTACTTAAGAACATTCAACTTACAAACTTTCAGAGATACAAACATCATCACTGAAAGGGGTTACCTGCTAGAACAGATGTTTAATGTGGATGAGACTGGATTATTTTTAAGAAAATTCCAGGTAGAACAAACATTACCTAAGAGGAGAAGAGCAAGCCAGGTTTTAAGGCTGTATTAAAGGGTATAGCTGTACTAAATATCCATAATCTTTTCATTTTTTACATTATGTTTGGTATCTACTAGAGTAAAGTTGGACTTACAAACAAGCCTCAGGAATGTAACTCGTTCGTAAGTAGAGGAGCACCTGTATTACAAGGATTCCAGCAATGTAATTTATATTCTGCCAAGTCTAGTCTGCGACATTTTATAAGGTAACTTTAAGCCTAAACTGCCTTCACCCTGGCTGTGAGAAAGGGGGGGGATGTTGACAGCTGTCAGGGAGGGGAGATAACAAAGTGTGTAGTTATCAAAACAGAAGGAGTTTTATTAATTCTTGTAAGTTATTGATTAATTTGAGTATAAACGTCACATAATTTGTACTAGACATAACATTTTTAATAATTAACTTGTTACAGGTTTACCCATAGGACACTATTTCTTTTACCTTTTTTTCAAATATATATTTAGGATGGTGTAGGCATATAAATGAGTAAAATTAAATGAAGAAAGTTACATATATCTTTCTGGAAATACGAGTTAAAAAACATGTACACAAATGTACTACACTAGACTAAAATTTCTATCTCCTGTTCAAACTATGTGATGTTTATACTCAAATTAATCACTATCTTACAAGGGTTTCAGCAATGCAATTTATATTCTGCTAAGTCTAGTCAGCTACATTTTATAAGATAAAAACTTTAAGCCTAAAACTAGCTTCACCCCGGCTGGGAGGGAGGAGGGAAGTTAAGTGCCCCCTCATAATTTTGTCCGGACTAAAGGAGGTGCTGGACCATCAGTTCCCGGATGATAGATGGTGTACCATGCCTATGTGTCACCTACCATGCGTTTGTGTCGCCTACCATGCCTATGTGTCACCTACCATGCCTTTGTGTCACCTACCATGCCTTTGTGCTACCTACCATGCCTATGTGTCGCCTACCATGCCTTTGTGTCACCTACCATGCCTTTGTGCTACCTACCATGCCTATGTGTCGCCTACCATGCCTTTGTGTCACCTACCATGCCTATGTGTCACCTACCATGCCTTTGTGTCACCTACCATGCCTTTGTGCTACCTACCATGCCTATGTGTCGCCTACCATGCCTATGTGTCACCTACCATGCCTATGTGTCGCCTACCATGCCTTTGTGTCACCTACCATGCCACCTACCATGCCTACCCCACCCTCACCATCCCTGCACTTCATGCCCATGTGTCACCCTCATGCCTTTGCTCCTACCATGCCTATGTGTCACCTACCATGCCTTGTGCACTACCTACCATGCCTTGCGCCTATGTATGCGCCACCATGCCTTTGTGTCACCTACCATGCCTATGTGTTGCCTACCATGCCTTTGTGTCACCTACCATGCCTTTGTGTCACCTACCATGCCTGTGTGTCACCTACCATGCCTTTGTGCTACCTACCATGCCTATGTGTCACCTACCATGCCTTTGTGTCACCTACCATGCCTATGTGTCACCTTCCATGCCTTTGTGTCACCTTCCATGCCTATATGTCACCTACCATGCCCTTGTGTCACCTACTATGATGCTTCATTCTTTGCCTGCAGTGCTGGTAAGTGTTACTTTTATTTACATTTAGTTATTACATGTACACATATAGGGGTCGATAAATTTTTATTGTTATATTTTTGTAGGAGGGGGAAGTGCCTCGGTAAGTCGGAATTTGGGATACCTCGGCACGGCCAGAGCCTCATATGTGCTTACTTATCGAGGGTTTACTTTGTATGGGATTCAGGCTAATACGACTTATGTGGAACCAGACACCCCCTTGGTAATTTTGACCACCATTTTGCTGAAAAATCACATCCGAAAGCAAAATTACAGTTTACAATACAGTAATATCTCTGTTAACCAGAATCCCTCATATCAGGAGCTCTCCAATAGCCAGAATTGAAATTTTCTCGGAAAATCGTAACCAAGGTCGGAATTTTCTGGAAAATTCTGGCTTTTGGAACAATTTTCCGAGCGACACATTTTTCCAGAAAATTACGAGAAAACTTTCCCAATACCCTGTACCTGGAAAATTCCGGGGATGGGGGAGTTTTTTCCAGGTTTGAGAGATGAAAATCTGGCACATTTTCCGGAAATTCAGAGACAAAATTTCCAGTACCCAGAAAATTCCAGGGATGGGGGATATTTTGGGGGCTTTGAGAGATGATGTAATAGACAATTTCTGGGAATTCCGAAAAAATTTTCCGTTACCCGGAAAATTCCGGGAATGAGGGATTTTTTCCGACTTTGAGAGAGTCGTCTCGTTACCCTGAAATCTCTCATTCCTGAAAGTGCTCTGCACCAATTGTTCCGGCTAATGGAGATATCACTGTACGGGTAACTCACGTTTTACGCAAGTTTGATTTAAGCATTTTTTGGGATAACTCGATTGTTCAATTAATACCAAAAGTTAATTTACGCACACCTATTTTTGAAATAACGCTCTCATGACAGTTTAAATTTGCCGTGCTTGTTCTCCTGGTCGCCTGGCAGTGGAGTCACGTGTGATGCCTGGTGAGGTGCTTGTAAGTTGTGACTATAAAGTCGCAGTCATATCAACATCAACGATTTTAATATACAGTTGGTCCTCACATTGCGGTCCCCATTCTGTCACCTAACATGCTCACATTCCGCGGTCGTGAACCCCATTACGCAGAGAGCGGCTGGCAAGCCGCGCCATTTTTTGATCCAAACCTCCCGCCATCCGCCATGTTGTGTAAGAGGCGCGAAAATGGTGCGCACAAGGTCGCCCAGTCATCAAAACATTACCAGTTCTTCACCCGCCACCCACTACAGCCGGCCCAAGTCAGTGATAGTGATAATTATAGTGAGGATATGGACTTATATGAACTTTTGGGGGTTTGACAAAGAGGCCCTGCAAGCCTCTGTGGTGGATAGTGATACAATTGATACAAGTGATACAGGTGAGGGCCAATAATCTGCCCTCTGCCTCGGAACCAACCGCCCATCCCCGTGTGCCCAGCCATCTTTCCTACTAATGTAAGTGTTAAAAAACCTAATATTATTGATATTTCTCTTAATTATTAATTGTGTGTGTATGCCATCATAAAGTTAAGATAATATTTTTACTACAACATAGTTGTGTGTCGTCAAAAAAGTGGAGTTTGGGGATCGGCCCGGACTCCATTTCAATTAATCCCATATGTTATGTTATTCACTTTACGCAATTCTTCTTCCGTTGACCTTCCGGTTACATTAACCGCTGCACGGAGGACCAACTGTATTATTATTAATAATAATAATTATTATGATAATGTAATAATAAAGAATATTACTACTAATGATGAAGGTAATAATGATAATGAAGTATTCTGTACAACAACTGTGATGACGTCCAGCAAGCTTCCCGCGTATTGCTTTCTCAGTTCACACCAGCACTACTTTTTCTCTGTGCTCTCATTTGCATTGTGTGTTTATCACATACCTTTTTAGTGTTAAACGCTGTTTTCCCCATTGAGCATGCCTGGAAAATGTCCATCTGCCTCCTCTGGGGCACCTTAAGTTAAAAAGGCATGAAAAACAATCACACTGGACGTGAAATTAAATGTGATCACCCTCCTTCAGAGATGAGAGCGTGTGTCGGAGGTTGGCCTTGTGCTTGGTTTAAGTGAGAGCACTGTTCGTACCTTGTACGGTATATGATGGTTCCCCTAACCTGTACCATTTACATGTATTCTTTTGGGAAAATTATGTTTAATTTACGCGTTTTTGAATTAAGTGATGATTTTCAAGAATGCAACCCCCGTGTAAAACGAGAGGTGGGTGCACTTACTTACAATGTACAGTATTTGCATTATAGCAGATGAATCTTGAGTTGGAGGACAAAGGGAGCCACTTAACTTAATTTACTTTAGTTTTACTTTTACTTTTTAGTTTCACTTATATTTATCTGCACAATTACACTTAAAACTAGCATTTATTTCTTGGTTTAATCACTTGGAATTGAGGATGCAAGGTGGCAGAGCGGGAGTTACCACCAATTCTGACTCTGAGGTGTAGGGTGAGTGATGGGATGAGCCAGGTTGGTCACTGTCAGAGGACATTGCAACAATGAGGGCAGATGAATCACTGTAGCATTAGCTTGAAAATTTTTTTAATTTTAACTTGTTTAAGTTGTGCATGTTGCTGGTTGATCATAATGGTACATGAGTCTCTTAACACTGAGTAGTACTTTTGCAGTTCTGCACCACTTTGGCTTTCAATCCACAAAAATTTCAACACCTTAATCCTCTTTTTACTCGTCGTAGCTTTACCAACATCATTTAATGACACTGCATAGTCTTTCAACTTCTGCTTGGCCTTCTTTATGTCGT